AACAATGTACAACAAAACAGCAACAACATCAAGCCACTGACAAAGAACAAATTAAAATATACCAAGAAAGAAAAGCTTGTAGTTAATTCAAGGATCGCTGGCCTTTAAGAGTGTTTTCCAGTCCAGCCTGTTGGGGCACCATGCCCTGTCCCCAAAGTCCACCCTCATCATTCTCATTTACTTTTATACTTCTCCCATATGCAATCCTTTGCTCTCCACTGACTATTAAATATTTAGGCTTCAACAACTATGGAGAATATTGATTTCAGTAGCCTGCTTGCTAGAATCTTCCACTTTCATGCCAGTAAAACTTCACCACGTGACTCCATTTTTAAATAGTCAGGGCCTTCAGAACAAAATCCACAACAGGTTTTATTCCGGCTTATGCAGTCTTTTATTAGTAGTACCTAAGTTAACTTATGATGAGTGACCCACCACATGTTTTGTTGAGATCGCCATCTTTTTTAAATGGAAGGTACTAAATGGCACACGCACTCCCCCACTTAATACAGATAACATTTGATAAAATATTATCATTATCATCCTTATAAATCTATAACTGAGCATTCAAATGTGTTAGGAAAATCTGAGGATCTTTAATCAGCAAAGAAATTGCAAAACAAAGATAGAAACTGATTATGATGGTGGACATAGTGGTGGTAGAACATGCTATCTTCAGAACCCAGAGGCTTGGGCAGTAACACCCATGTGAGTGTAAGCCTGTGTGATGAAGAAAATTAGAGACCACTGCATAAATTCAGGACATTCTAAAGGCTACACCCTCTGTGAAAGAATATAATCAAACATAAAATACATGAATATATATATATAAATCCATTAGCTATGGGAGACCCAAAGAAGTTCAAATCTCTCAACTAGAAGGAAGGAAAAATATCTACCAGGGGGTTTCAATTATTGATCTGTTCCACGCATGGATTTGAGAGTACTGGGTTATATACACCATATTCTAAAGTTTTCAAACTGAACATGTTCAAATTGAACCCAAAAAAGTGACTATTAGCTTGGCTGAAGCCTTCAGAACTTTGTAGAGGCAAATATAAAACTTTCCCTACACATTTGCTCTCAAATCCAGACTGTAAAACACTGAAAATGAACTCAAAATTAAAAAACACATAAACATATGCATTATTAAGTCAAGCAGCTGTTGGCAAATGATAGGATTAATCATCCCCACCATGAGATAAGGAAGGATCCCTAGTGGTCTTATGGGATAAGCATTGGGCTGGGAACCACAAAGGCAGAGGGTGAGAGATGAGGCTATATTCTACCTCAGGTTGACAGTCTCAGACACCCTCAGTGGCAGTTCTATTCTGCTCTATAGGGTTTCCATGAGTGGGAATCGACTTGATGACACTAAGAAACATCATAGACATACATGGTACATCAGGGATTAATAGAGCAACATGTTAAAGCTACCTAGTACCTAGAAAAAGGAATGCAATGGTGAGCCGCATGTTATTATAAAAATAAAACTAAATATAGAGTTAAAAAACAAATAAATTACTGGAAAATATTTATGTTCAAATTAAACATTCAATTGATAGTTTAGACAGTGGTTGAAGAGGGGCACACGGTATAAGAAGCTATTCAGAAGATAACATGAGGTGACAAATGTATGGACAACATGAAAGAGAAGTGAAGACGTGTAGAGAAAGTTTAAACCATACTCTGTACAGCAAACAAGTCCAAGAAGAAGAATATAGAGAAAATAAGAGGAGCAACAAACGTTGAAGGGAGATATACTGACTTAATGAAATTAATGAATTTTCATATTAAAGAAGTGTAATAACTCCAAAAGAACACAGAAGTTTTAAATTCTATGCATACACATATTATCACAATATGTGTATGATGATAGCAACTTCAAAGTGCAACTTCGTAGTGAAGGCAAAGAAAGAAGCACATATACATTTTTTCATACAACCAATTGCTTTGAGCAATCTTATTTTCAGGTATTAAAAAATCCAATCCAATTAAATACCAAAATTCTCAAGCAACTT